GATTCAAGTTGTGCTTTTCATATGAAATCCTATAAATAATACATTATTGAATTTTTTGAAATGAGTGCGTTCAAGTAATAATGGGAAATGATTTCTTTTACACAGTTCACAATAATACAGAGTGAGTAAAATTACGTCTGCGTAGAAGCTCCTGGTTGAGTGTCTTAGATTAGAACTGCTTCTACAATTTGTCTTGTTTGTGGCTCAGCCTTTACGAGGATGGGTGCCTCTCGACAAAAAAGAGACTTTTTCCAAAAGGTATTGGAGAAATAGTTTAAAAATGAAAAATGGAAATATTTTGACACTTGAAAAGATCAGATACATTCCTAATTTGAAAAGAAATTTGATTTCTAGGTATTCTTGATTATGAATGTTAAAATACTTTCACCAACAAAGGAATTATTACCATTCAAAATAATTTTACTGTAATCATTAGGGTTCTTAAAATTAATGGAAATAATGTCTTAAATACTTTATTTTGAGTGGGGGATCCATTTGCTACTGCAGGCTCCCAAAATGATAAGTCTAAATTATGGCACAAAAAACTTGGTCACATAATTAATAAAAATTTGCATTTGTTGAAAAAGCAAGGTCTATTAGGTGCTAAAAAAATTGAAAAACTATCATTCTATGATCATTGCATGTATGGTAAGCGAAATAAATTACCTTCTATTCTAGGAATGATAAATCTAAATCTATACTTGATTATTTGCATGTTGATCTATGGGGACCCGCTTCTGTTTACACATATTCTGATTATAAAAATTTCCTTCTCATAATTGATGATTTTTCTAGAAAAGTTTGGGTTATTTTATTGAAAAAAAAATCTAATACTTGAAAGCATTTTAAAAACTAAAAAAAAACTTGTTGAAAATCAAGTTAACAAGAATACAAAGATTCTTAAGACTATTAATGGTCTTACATTTTGCAATGAAGAGTTTGACAATTTTTGTTAAAAAAAAAAAAAAAATAAATAAATATTTCTATCCTTATGTACATAGTTGCCACATACACTTCTCAACATAATGGATCAGTAGAAAGAATGAATGGGACTCTCTTGGAAAAGATTAGACATTTTATTAATCAGCTAACAACTCTCAAGGATATTTTGAGGAAAACCGGTAAAAAAAAACTGTAGAATATCTTATAAATAAATGTTCTATTGTAATATGACACTCTGATTGGATTGGTCATCCTATTGACTACTCAAGATTAAGAGTATTTTGATATGATGCATATGCACGTCAAAATGAGAAAAAACGAGAACTTATGACCATTAAAGACATATTTCCAGGTTATTGAGAAGGGGTGAGAGAATACAGAATTTGACTAAGAGATCAGTGTTGTTACATGTTCATCATTTAGAGTGTAATCTTTAGTGAAAATTACATACCCCATGTTAAGGAAAAAGATTTGCTTCTGAAAATAAACAAGTTAGGAACTTAGTGTATTCTGATCCCATTTCAACAAATTTAAATCTCTTAAATGAAGATGAAATTGAAGTGGAGAACTCAAGAACCTTTTAATGAACTTGAAAATCTTAATACGGAAGAGTTATAGCCTAAACCCTTTAGAGAATTATCAATTTCCAAGGGACGGTGTGAGAAGAAAAATTAGGCCACCTTGATGAAGTAGATTTTGTTTTTTACCTTTAGTGTACAAAAAATTATAAGCCTAATTCTTATGAACAGGCTATTGGTGGGAAGGATGTGAGCCTTTGGCTTGCAGCCATGAAAGATGGAATGCTTTCATTAGATAAAAACAAGACATGGACCTTAGTAAATAAACCAAAGGGGACAAAAAATTATAGACTGTAAGTGGATTTACAAAATAAAAGATGGAGAACATGAAGATAAGAGTGTGAGGTTTAAAATCAGGTTAGTTGCAAAGGGTTTTACCTAAAGGAAAGGGATTGACTATAATGAAATATTTTCTCCTATTGTCAAATATGCTTCTGTAAGGATTTTTTTCTCTCTTGTTTCTTACTTTGAATTTGAATTAGACCAATTAGACATGCAAATTGCTTTCTTAAATGAAAATTTGGATGGAAATATTTATATGACTCAACCTAAAGATTTTGAACAAAAGGGAAAAGAAAATTGTGCGTGTCTTTCATATAAATCTTCATATAGATTGAAACAAACTCCTACACAATTATATAAAATGTTTGATACATTCATAAAAGGGTTTGGTTTCAATAGAAGTAAAATAAGATTCATGTTTTTATTTTAAGGATAGTGGAGGCTCAAATTCCTATCATCTTCTGTTATATATTGATGCTATGTTGATTGTTGAAAGTGATGGTTATGAAATAAACAAGGTAAAACATAAGTTAAAACATGAATTTGAAATGAAATAAACAAGGCAAAACATAAGTTAAAACATGAATTTGAAATGAAATATTTATAAAACAAAAGTTAAAACATGAATTTGAAATTAAATATTTAGAACATGTAAAACGGATTTTAGGAATAAAAATTAAAATAGATAGAATTGGAAATAAATTGTTTCTAACACAAGAGTATAACATTTCTAAAGTATTGAATAAATTTTCTATGTCTTTTGCTAAAACTATAAGTTTACCTTTGGCAAGTCACTTTAAACCATCTCTTGAACAATGTCACAAAATTGAAGATGATTAGATTATACTAAATAAAATTTCTTATGCTAATGTTGTTGGTTCGTTATGTACGTTATGGTATGTACCAGACCAAATTTAGCTATTGTTGTAAGTGCTCTTAGTAGATTCATGAGCACTCCAAGTTAGTGTTACTTGGAGGCTATGAAATCGCAATTAAAATACTCTGTAACATTATGTTAATGTTTTATAAATCTGTCGAGGAAATTAATTTAAAAGTAATTGTTGATATAGATTTTGCTGATAATAATGATAATAGAAAGTCTACGTCTACTTATATGTTTAATATAATTGATACTTTTATTAGTTAGAAATCTCAATTATGGAAAATTGTAGCTCTGTCACATTTCGGAATCTTAATTTATTATAGCAACAAGTGATGTAATAGAATGTATTTGGTTAAAAAATTTCAAAAGTGAAACTGGTTTTGCTAAGAATAATGCTATGTTATATTTTGATAGTGAGTCAGCAATACATTTAGGTAGAATATTTTGCTTTTTCATGATATGACAAAACACATTTATGTTAAATTTGATTTATTAGTGGATATATTAGAAAAGGAAATTATGAAAATAGATAAAATTTCTATTAAATATAAAGCTGGAGATATTAGTACGAAAATACTGTCTTGACATAAATTTAAGGACTGTTTAAATTTCCTAAATCGTAATACTGGTTAAATTTTGTGCAGGTACTTTGAGTGAATGAAGCAAATAGAGCTAACATCTAAATCCCTTTAGGTATGATCAAAAGTGCCAAGCGTGGTGGAGATTGTTGGGCTGATATGCTTAATACTTTTGGGCCATCTACAATAGGGCTCAACCGTAGGCCCTATGATTTATATAAATTGGAAAACTGACCTGGATGCTTCATCACTATACATACTCGCATTTTGGTTATGCGACTTTCATTAAAAAAAATTCTAAAAGCTGAAATGAAGCCACGTGGTTGCCTGTTGGCTTATTTTATTTAAATGCCCTATTTGTCTATTCTTTTGTGAGATTATTCTAGGATTTCTGTTGTGGTGTCGCTTCTCTTTCTTTCTATCATCCGTTCGTCTTTTTTCGTCTATAATATCAAAATTTTGATGATTTCTTAGCGAGATTCTAAAACGGTGTGTTGTGAGGGTTCTTAGTGTGTTCTTGGTGAGCAATTACTCTAGTTTCTTGGTGTAATTGTGAGAGAAGAAAGATTGAGAGAGAAACTACATTTCTAAGGGTTTTTCTGGTTGATAATTTGAGTACTGACCGTTGTACTTGTAATCTTTGGTCATGCTAGTGGATTTAGAGCGTTAAACATAACTCTGTGGATACTTAACGTGGAGAGTAGACCTTTAGGCTGAACAACCGGGCCACAGGGCGAAACAAATATTGGTGTTTGTACTCTCTATTGAAGTTTTATTTTATATTTGTTACAAATATACAAACACTTTCCCAACAGGATAAAGATATTTGGACAAGGTCTACACAAACAAGGAGTCTAATAGGGGGTGCAGGCCTGCGAGGGGGTCGATGCCCTATGGAGGGGGGTGCCATTTAGGCTGGACAGGGCCACATTGGCCTAGTCCGTCCAGCACGGTTGTTCTCAATAATGGTGCTTCATTCTATCCCAATGATCACTCCAGCCAAAGATAAACCAAATAATGCAATAAAGGTGACAACATGTTTGGGAGTGATTATAACTTGTGGATCATAGGGATTATGTATACAATAAGAGAGTGGTAGTTGTGAGTTATACAAAATGTGTGGATGAAAAATATATTTAATCATCATAGATTACAATTTAAGCTTTGTCAAACACATTTAATTAACCTATTGAGTTTTAAGTTTTAATACAGTATAAATACAAACCATTTCGGTGCTGTCATAGCCGAGCTTGAGCCAGCTAGTCCGATCCTAGTTTAAACTATCCCACTGATTTGATGAAACAAACAATCTCTTTCTGAGAGTTATTTGTTGCTTACATATTGCGGGAAAAATGGCAGTGCAATTCTTCTTTGGCAAAGAAGAAGTATGCATTTGCATGACTTCCTTGCCAATAGAGAACAGCCTTGTTACTTCTTTCCCCCACACACAGGGGAGGATCCAAGACTACTACCTGTGCTCACCCAAGCCCACATTCAGGTAGCCCACAATTTTTTTTTTGGTTGAGCCCATTTCATTTGATTGAGCAGCGTATGTCCAGCTGCCAGCCCATGTCCAACACCCCTCCCCCAACCCACCCCCCCAAGAAAAAGAAAAAAGAAAAGAAAAGAAAGATAGCCTGACCCAACTCCATTTTCTTGGCCCAAACAAAATTTAAATTTCAATACCCTATAAACCAAACCCAAACCTAAAACACTTTCATTTCTAACCCATTGGCTTCCTCCCCAAACTCCTCCACCATGCTCCATCTTGGTCTCGATCCATAGCCATTAGCCAACAGTCCATGGCTAGCTGCCAACGGTATGTATTTTCGATTTTGCCATTTTGGAGTTTAGTTCTTGTATTTTGTAACTTGGACGATTTTTTATATATATTTTTAGATTTTAGTACTTAATATGGATTATTGAGATTTGAGAACGGGTTGTATATTGATTTTTGAGAAATAGAATACAAAATTTATTGGAGTTTGGGTTGTATGGATGAAATGGAATAAAAATTTTTACTCTCGTTCCTGGCTCTGTCTTACAGTTGTGCTGAGCTTTCCAAAATTAATTAAAAGGGGGGGGGGGGGGGGGGGGGGGCTAAGCTTTTCAAAATAAAAAAAATAAAAAAGGGGGAGAGAGAGAGAGAAATTGGTGTTGAAAAGTTATAATTACTATCAAAGAGGTGACTTTCGTTTTTTCCCCTCGGCATTTAGGCTTTTCTTCTCAATTTTGTCCTAGAATCTTTCCGTAGCTGGTGAAAACATGTAATCTATGAGGCTCTAAGATAAAAGTATTGATATAATAGTAAGATAACAAAAAAGCGAAACCAATTCCACTGTAACTATTTAAAATAATAGAATAATATCATGGAAGTGAGTGACAAGGGAAATGAGCCAATTTGAAATATGAAATTATGAATCATTGGAATTTAATATACTTACTTAAATCCTCATTGAAATTGATAAACAAGTGCAATGTTTCTTATAATTCAAGTGTAACCTTACGGGTTCACTAATAGCATTATCAAAATGAAATTTGTATTTGTTCTTGTTTTTCAGCAATAAGTCACTTACTGACATGGTAGAATACAAGTTGATTTTTTAGCTTATTTGATCTTCTTTTTCTTCTTGATTTTGTCTGTTTATTCGCAGTCACAATTGGTTGGAAGAATTTCTAAGAAAATGGCATTTACACTACTAATTCATTCATGTTGGAAAGATCTTTGTCTGGTGTCTGCCAACCAAAAACATATACCATAGTAAGTAAATGTCCCCATCTCTCTACTTATTGCCTTGCCGGCAAATATTGAATTGAATGTTGTCACCTATTTGTCTATGTTGCCTTGTTGGCTTAATAAATTATTTTTATCACCTCTCAAGAAGAATAAGAACTTGTTTTCCTTCTTCCAAAGGGTAGATAGACCTATAGAAAGTACAACTTCTGATGGACTAACTAAAGAAAACCTTTATTTCAACCAGAAACCGAACGATATTCATCCTCAAATATTAGCATTGAATGAGAACCGGGAAAAAGAAAGCAAATACTTGAATTTCCTTTTCATCTGCGAGATGAGATTAGAGTGACGTATCTAAAGGCTGGGCCTTATCAACCAAAACTTGTTGAGTATCCAAAGACACAAGGAAAATCTCAGTCTCGTTGCTGTCAGGCAAAATGGTTCAACTAGTTTCCTTGGCTAGAGTATTTACCTATAACAAATAGGGATATTGTTATCTTTTTCAAAATGATGGGAATTCGTACAATTGTTTGGCACTAGTAACTTCTGAATATAAATGATGGAAAAGGGTTAATGATGGATCAAAATGTGCGTTTCTTACGCATTTGTGATCATCGGATCATAATATGTGTGAGAGAAGAGCTAAAGATTTAATGAAACTATCTCAACATATTGATAAAATGATGCATATCGTATTGAATTCAGAAGTTAAGAAACATCATTTACGTTTAAATACTTCAATTCGAAGTGCTTGATGGCTAGCATTCCAAAGTTGTTCCTTTAGAGGTTAGGATGAATCTCCATCTTCATTGAATCGCGGAAATTTTCTTGAAATGATAAAAATTTTGGCAAAAATGAATGCAGAAATTGATCTAGTTGTTTTGAATAATACTCCAAAAAATGCACAATACATTGCTTCAAGTATTCAAAAAGAAATCTTACACATAATAGCGAATAAAGTAAGAATGATGATTCAAGAAGAAATTGGTGATGGGTACTATTGTATTCTTGTTGCTGAAGCACAAGATCCATCTAGGAGAGAACAAATGGCCATTAGTTTGAGGTTTGTGAGTCGTCAGTGTATTTTGATGGAACGCTACTTTGGTATCAAAAGCGTCACTGACACTGCATCATCAAATCTAAAAAATGAGAGGCCAATGATGTGATGGTGCTAGTAATATGCGGGGCACTTAGAATGGACTTCAAGCATTGTTTCTTAAAGATTGTCTATATGCATCTAATATCCATTGTTTTGCTCATTGATTACAATTGGTATTGGTTTATGCAGCTAAAGAAGCTGATGTTATTTGGGAGTTCGTTTCTCATTTGGACAATATTATCAACATTATCACTTCCTTCCATAAGCGCATTATAGAGTTACAATCTGCTCAAAGAAATGAAATTGAGCATATGTTAGCTACAGGGGAGTGTGAGTCTGGAAGAGGAGCAAATCAAGTGAATAATTTACAACGATCAGGAGCAACTCATTGAAGTTCTCATAATGACTCTATAAAGAGCTTAATAGATACGTACACTACAACTTGCAAGGTGTTTGAAAATCATATTGTCCATTGTCCAAATGTAAGATCTCGGGGCGAAGTTTGTGGACTTACAAACATATGAAAATTTCTAATTGTGTTCAGTTTGCATTTAATGCATAACATCATGAGATTAACCGATAATCTTTGTCAGGCACTCAAAGGGAATCTTTAATCATCTTGGCTGCTATAAGACTTGTTTCTACTACAACAAAACTCCTTAAAAAGGGAGAGATGATGATTGGGAAGAATTTCTTCAGGAAGTAAGAAAGTTTTGCTCAAAACACGATATTGAGATACCCAACCTAGAAAGTTTGTACAAGGTTGGTCCTTGTTGTTCTCGTGATCAAATTACAATGGAGCATCATTATCACTTTGATGTTTTCAATGAAATAATAGATTTCGTACTAATAGAATTAAATACAAGATTCAATGATACATCAGTTGAACTTCTCACACTCAGTGCAGCTTTGGACCCTAAAAATTCGTTTAAATCATTTAGCATTCATGATATCTATGTACACTTGCTGAAAAATTCTATCATGGGGATTTTTGAAAGCAAGATATTCGTACTTTGGAATATAAGTTGCGACATTTTGAGCTAGATATGAAGAGTGAATCTCAATTTCAAGTATCAACACTTGTTGAGTTGTGTCGACGGTTAACTAAGAGTGGCAAGTTGTGGACTCGTATTATGGTTACTCGATTGATTCGTCTTGTACTGACTTTATCTGATTCTAGCGACTACTGAGTGAGCATTTTCAGCAATGAAACACATGAAGACGGATCATGATAATAGAATGGAGGATGACTTTCTTGCTGATTATATGACACTCTTCATCAAACAAGAACTTAATCAAAAGATAGATATAGATTCTGTTGTAGATAAATTTTATGTTTCAAAATCTCGTCAGGAACAACTTCAAATTAAATGAATTTGACTTTAATTCATATATGAATTTATTATATCATCTTTTAAATTCTAGCCCATGTGTCAAAAATTCCTAAATCCACCCCTGTCCACACATTATCCATTTGCCCCAAAATAGCCATGGAGGTTCCATTTCTAAGAGCATATTTTCTATACTTCGTGGTTTGCACCTTCATTTTGGATATGCTAAAACTAGAAATGGCATATGCATGGGACTATACCTCTAGGGTTTTCCTTTACTTTTTGTTAAGGCCATGGTCCCAAGTCCTGACTTTCACTTTGCGCATCGTTAAGTTTGTTCTATGGATGTGATACTTGAAGTGCAGAAAATGAAACATGTTGGAAATTAGGAACTTCATTTGGGAAGTCTACAACTTTCATAATTTAATTTTTTGTTCTTGAGTCGGGACTGGGCAGGAGGAGGGAATATTAATGGGGATTCTTAAAGCAAAGGCTGTGATGAAATTTTATTATTAGTAAAAAAGATATTATAAGTTCCTAATAATACCATAATTAGGGATGCCAAGAAGTCGAGCCAAAACTCGAGGTTCGAGTAAAATGGTGCGAGCTTTTTTCAGGCTCTAGTCGAGCTAAGCTTCTATTTGGCCAAAAAATCTAGGCTGGACCCGAGCTTTCGACTCGAGCCTCTTTGAGCAGAGCTAGGGAGGCTCTTTTTTTTTGTTTTTGTTTTAAATAACTGCTGCCTTAAAAAGACAACATTAGGTTCGAGTAAATTGGTGCGAGCTTTTTTCAAGCCCAAGCCGAGCCGAGCTTCTATTTGGCCAAAAAATCTAGGCTCGAGCCGAGCTTTCAACTTGAGCCTTTTCGAGCAAAGCCGGACAGGCTCTTTTTTTTTTTTTTTTTTTTTAAATAACTGCTCCCTTAAAAGGCAGCATAAAGTCAGCCAGCTGCTGCCTTTTTTAAGGCAGCACTCAACTGCCTGAAATGGTAGTAGTATTGCCTTTAAATTCATTTTTTTTTCTCTTTTTTAAGGCCCGTGAGCTTGAGCCACACGGGTTTGCTTGAGCTTGGGCCAACACCCCAAAATAGCGCTTGGCCCGAGCCTCGAGCCGGGTTGGCATGGGATTTTTCTGGGCCGAATCACGAGCGGCCCAAGCCGACGACCTAAATTGATAGGGAAAATTTCATAACTAAGAAATTAATTATGGCACATTTCAAAAATAAGAAAACAAGTTTCAAATTTCTAAAATCAGATTTTTATTAAAAATTTTAATTAGTTAATTAATTTTTTATTAATTAAATATATTTAGGTCACGGATCTATACAATTTGGTCACAAATTAACAATATAATTAGTTACTTATTATTTTTTTGTCACAAATCAAAAATTTTATGTCACAAATTTTTTTACGATCACAATTCAAAAATTTTGTAAGTCACAGTTTGTTTATTGGTCACAATTTCAAAAATAATTAGTCACGGATTAATTTTTAATCACGACTTATCATATTATTGGTCACAACTTATTTTTCGGTCACAAACACAAATTTTATAGGTCACATATTATTTTTCAATCACGAATCAAAAATTTTATAGGTCACAGATTAATTTTTCGATCACAACTCAATAAATTATAAGTCAGAAACACAAATTTTATAGGTCACATATTATTTTTCGATTACGAATCAAAAATTTTATAGGTCACAGATTAATTTTTCGGTCACAACTCAATAAATTATAAGTCACAAACACAAATTTTATAGGTCACATATTATTTTTCGATCACGAATCAAAAATTTTATAGGTCACAGATTAATTTTTCGGTCACGACTCAATAAATTATAAGTCACAAACACAAATTTTATAGGTCACATATTATTTCTTGTTAATTCGTGACTAAATTGTATATATATGTGACCTAAAAAAATTAATAAATTAGTTACGAATTAACAAATTAATTACTAATTTATTATTTTTTGGTCACAAATTAAAAATTTTATGTCGCAAATTATTTTACGGTCACAATTCAAAAAAATTACATGTCACAATTAGTTCATCGGTCACAAAACAAAAAATTAATTAGTCATAAATTTATTTTTAGTCACAACTTATCAAATTATTGGTCACAACTATTTTTCGATCACAAATCAAAAAATTAATAGGTCACATATTATTTTATGGTCCAATTCAAAATTTTTATAGGTCACGGGTTGTTCATCAGTCACAAATCAAAAAATTTATAAGTCACGATTTATTAATTAGTCACAAAATCAATTTTTTTGTTGGTCACAATTCATTTGTCGATCACAAATCAAAAATTTCATAGGTCACAATTCATTGATCGGTCACAAATCAAAATATTTATTGGTCACAACTCATTTGTCGATCACAAATAAAAAATTTAATAGGTCACAATTCAATAATCGATCACAAAATCAAAATTCTTTTTGGTCACAACTAATTTGTTAGTCACAAATTAACAAAATAATTGGTCACAATTAATGTTACAGTTACAACTTAATAAATTAACCCCAGCCAGCACGCGAACACCGTCATCTAAGCAAACTGCAAACCACCTCCACAGCAACCACCATACACTGCCAGAGCCACCACCACCAACTCTCGACTGCAACACCATCGCTCCAAACAAGTTAACACATCACAGCAAAAACACAACCACAATCATCGTGCCAGACCCACAATCACCGCGATAAACCCCACTACAATGCAAATCAACAGTCCTAAATCACCGGCCAATACCCATAACCCTCTAACCAGGAAATATCAACTCAAAACCATAAAACAATCGGGGCCGTCCACCTGCTACACCCTCCCAGTACACCTATTACCTTCCCAATCACGCCGTCTCCCACCACATGTCGGATTCACAATCCGTATCGCCACCGTTTGCACAGCCAACGATTTCCATCCACCACAGGTCACAGTTATTTACTATCGTACACAAACATCAGTTGCAGAGCAGCAGATCTCGGCGGTGAGCAGGGCTGCACTTCTGTGAGCAACGCGTACAACGCTACTTAGATCGATCGATGTGATTGCTGGCTCCGATGCTCACAGTGACTGTCAGATCCAGGACGATTTGGCAGTAGTTGCGGCGAGGTGACTTTTGCTTGTCCGGTGACGGCGGAATTTTGGACAGAGAGGGGGGGGGGAATTGAGAGAGAGAAAGAATAGAGATTTGGCAGAGAGGGAGGAAATAATTAGGTTTTAAATTGTTTATTTAATTAATTTTTAAAGATATTAATTAATTCAAAAAATTCTGATTAGTGAAATATTAAACATGTCATCTTATTTATGAAATGAGAATTTTTAATCTATTAGAATCTGTAATTTCCACAAATTGATATCCCTAACCATAATGACATACCAAAGTATTTAAAATAGTAAGTAATGACACCATAAAACATTAAAATTTCCATATTTATTGCATGACATTTTCATACACACTCATTTCTTAACTTTTTCTTTTTTAGAAAAAAAAATCATATCTTATTATTTACCTTTCTGTTGATTATATTTTGCAATATTCTTTTCGATAATCATATGTTCCTACAATTTATTCCTCAACAATGAAAATGCCAAGGGTTTATTTCCACAGTGTGAACACGATCCTTCGATAATAAAGTAAAAAATTGTACCAGTACCACTTGACTAAGGCTAAGGCCTAGGGGATCCAATCAAGTTTCTTGCTTGAAATATTTTTGTAAATCATACCGACCATTTAATTGCTAGAATATTGGATCATTCCACTTGTTAATGAATAAAAGAATATGCTGTAAATATCCTTGTTGAATGCAAAACACAACAAATTTTCATGAGCTATAAATAGAAACGAGTGCTCAGATCTTTTAATCATGTCTCTTCAGAGTGTATGGATGCATTACTGGGCAATTACTCCACTGGCAGTGGGCTACTTTACTGCTATATAGGGATTGGCTGTTTTATTTAGCTCACTGCCAAGGGAGATTTGCCCGGCAATTCACCCATATATACAAATAATTGTTGCCGTATATATGTCTATAATTTTCTAAAATCGGGTATTATTAGATTTTTACGTTTGGGAGCTGAGATATACGAAGTTTTGTATCACAAGTCATTACAATATGCATTTCTTTTAAAATCGACATAATAGTTATAAACTCATAAGCAAGCCTTGTTTAATTCAGCATTGAGAGGCAAAATTAGAGTAATTACGTTTTGTGTAACTAAAATGTATATTTTTATAACATATAATTAGTAATTAATAAGTTCATGATATTAAAAATCATTTCCTTAAGAAAAAATTATTAAAAATCGATTGTGTTCATTGAATATTTTAATATTACCCTGTTCTCCATTTAATTATTTCTTGTTAAATTTTTAAGAAAATGAGGAATGAATTATTTCGTTGAAATGTCCAAACATTGTTTGGATCGGTGTTTTCTCTGTATTTATATAAAAAAAAAAAAAAATATATGTACAGTTTGTAAAGGGTGTTCAAGAGTTG